AAGTTTAATAGTCATGTTCAAAACGTAAATTCTTCCTAAGTCTTTCGTAATTCGTGCAAAATTCGTTCAATAATTTCAACAATGAGTCTATCTGTTCTGAAGTTAAATAATCAGAGCAAGATATGTCACTAACAGTAAAAATATTTTGTTCATTTGTTGAAACGGTCACATGACCAGCATTGACATTTTTTCGAGCTCCGATTTCTTCAAAACAAACAACTGATCTTGATAAAATTTTGTCTTTACTGACCTTGAAATATTTTTGAGAGAAGTTCGTTATCGTCAGAACTCCAACTTGATTATTTGTGATACATTCGTAAATGTAGCATTCGTTTCCTGGAATCGCCCGCAATCCTCCTGGTACGTACACATTATCGGTGGTGGCTCCTCGTGACGTCACTTCAATGACTGCTACTATTTTTGTCGATGTACCGGGAAACTTTTGATGAGTAATGCATTCCATCTACCCAACTCATGCTTCAATTATCAAGGTTATCAGACCACTGCCTTACAAGTCCAATAAGGCGACTTTGCATGTGCTATCTGCTCTATGTTTTCAATCCACTTGGACATACCAAGATTAGGATTACCTGGTTCAAATTCTGGGATACACTCAGGTTTTATATACATGCGCTGAGATTTTTCTTTCAAAAGAATTTGACTCTCAATCAACTTTTCAACCAGTTTCTCCAAGCTTGTCACAGTGTCTGCTCTTTCTGTTGAAGGCACATTTCGGTCCGCTGATGATAGTGAGGTGATGTAGTAGACGGGACACAGATATCACCTCCGCGTGACGTACTGGGTTGAGGTTCTTCTCTTGACCTTACGACCTATTTCTATTTTTTTCTCTACGACTACTTTTCCGTTTGTAGTCATAATCATCTAAACCAGTACTTGAGTCAGAATCCATTTTTTTTTACAGTATGATGCAATAAAGTAATACAAATATAAACAAAAAAATAACAATAATCGACACCAAAAAAACTGGCATTTTGATAATCTCAACGTGAGACTTGCATCGGACAATGCTTTCAGGACGTCCCTAATGTTATTAATACCGATTTTACAGGAAGAAGGATGTCGTCGATGTATGCCAATGCTTTCCCATACCGTATATGTGCCAAACTTTATTTATGGTTTTCTGGAATAATGCTGGTACATTTGCAAGGCCGAATGGCATTCGAAGGTACTCGAAATGACTGTCAGGAGTCACAAAGGCAGTTTTTTGAATAGAAACGAGGTACATTTCTATCTGGTGGTTTTCATTAGCTAAATCCAAACTTGTGAAAAACGGATAGAGTTTGAGTTTCTCCAGGAAATCATTAACTCATGGTAATGGAAGCCTGTCTTTGATAGTCTATATATACTAATAGCATTTTTTACATGGTACAGTAAATTTTTAGTTTAATAATATGTTTCATTCTGATTGCAATATATGCAATACTTTTGATATGCGATTTACTTCATATTTACATGCAGAAATGTTTCATATTTTCTCATTAAAAATATTGACTACCTTCACAGATTACCTACAAAGGTAGGTAGGTAGGGGCTGGAAAACTTTCAATATTACGATAGGTTGATGCATCAGGAAAACACCCAATAATCTGTGCAATGTTTCGATGTATTATTTCAAATGCCGTCACACAGGCAATCCAACCTAGTAGATGTATTTACCATAAGGCCTTATATCTGCTTCCCAGAAATCATCACCTTTTGGGATATGATTGCAATAATAATACCTAGAAAAGGATCTTAATGAAATAATATGTATGTATTTCCAAATAATATGATCATTTATGTTCCTTATATTCTCGTACTAACGCACGTACCTGTAATGAAAAAAAAAACTCAATTTATCCCTAAAATAAAAATCAAAAAGGTCAAACATCGAGTCATTAAATAAGTAATCCGGCCTTAAGGTAAAGGGATTTCTTTTTTGATAGAATTTGTTTCTAAAGATTGAAGTTCTGAGTTTCCCTCCTGTACGGCCTAGTTGTTCGACGCGCCATCGGGGTTTATTGACTTTCACAACGCTAACATTTTTAATATGAATTTGGTCTTAATAATTTGCAGGTTGTTTCTTATTGGTCTAAGATAATTATTTATTTATTTGGCAATTGAATAATAATATGTGATGTTGGTTAAATAATTTTCCAAATTATTAAACTATGTATATCTTAAAGCAACAGTGCAGGAATGAACCATTCACTTGCAGTAGAAATGTAGATTTCCAAAGTTCAAATCCTATAAATTTTGTATTTCATATTGATATGCATCTAATAAAACCACATTTATATTATTACGAAATTACATTGGTGCGGTTTAAGGGGTGGATCTTGTCCGTAGAGTGAATACTCTTAATGGTTAGTTGGTTCTTTGAAAAATACCTAACTGTACTTATAGGTGTGTTCGTCCGCACACTATGACTTTCTTTTCCTATTGCTTTTTGACTGGGTCTTTTTACAAATAACTTGAAGACCGAAAGCTAATACGTCTAAGGGATGAAAGATTCCTCCTTTTTCCTCTTACTTGCTCTAACTTCTTTACAAAATTTCTTTTTGTAACGTTTCTCGTCCTTCCTTTTGATATTGAGAATGGCAAACTATGCGTCACCGGTGCGGAAACTCTAGAGAATTTTCGGTTAAATGAAGTGCGTAGTTTGTAAGTTGCAGACAGGAGTGAAAAGAGTTTTAGTTGATTCATGAAATTCGTGACAGGTTGGTGTCAGAGGTGGAACAATAAGCGAGAAAATTGGTTTACTTAAGATTTCAAATTATAGACTTGACATATTCAGTTTATGAGGTAACATGTGTGGGATGTTTTCAAGTTGACATCCTGTATACTTATATATCTATCCATAGTCCATTTTAAACTGTTTTTTGAAAAAATATTTCTCCTTTATAAAATTTCCTAGAACACATGAGTAAATTCCCAGAGGGAAGGAAACTTTCTTAATTTATTTCAAATTTAAGTTTAGTTCTAGGATTATTTTTCTAAATTGCGGTCGAAGAAAAACAAAAACTATACTTACGGAAAAGTTTTATGACAACATTGTCGTTCTGGTAAACGTAAAATGCAAATCAAGGTGTTTACGTAAGAAGAGTGAATAGAAAATTCGCAAAATAAGATGATTATGTGCTTCTATACCATAGATTCTCATCAGACTTATTTTAGGGGTTGGAATGCAAGCAAAGTCCTTTTAGCCTGGGCAACTAACACGAATTTAAACAATAAATTCCGTTATAATTTCGCCAACATCAAACGGATATTCCCCTAGTTGGCTACAAAGCACGTCTGTACTGGGAGCTAATCGATTTTGTTGGGGATTATTCCGATACAGATTTAATTAATGAATTAAAATTTTGATACTAAATATAATAGAAAATGGGTCATTAATCAAAATTATTTTAGGCATTGGGTAATTGCATTTTATGTAGATATTTTATCATAGTAGCATATAAAACATGTTCCAATTTATCTTATTTCCATTCGACATTTACTTAAGTACATATTATTATTTTTCAATTTGTTTTTAGGAAAATTTTATACGAAGCGAAAATTTCATACAATGAAACTCAATCGGCATGAATATATTTCAAAATTTCTAGTTCCATCGCAATTTAAACTCATCTTTTCTCGTATATAAATGAAAAATTCTCAAATTGCTCAAACTTTGTTTCCAAATATTCTTGCCAGGTTCGAAACAGTATTTCAAGTTTTGCATTATTTTTTTGGACTAAAATTTAAAGTTCTATCCCATCTCAGTAAGTTGCTTGAATTGAGACAAGAAATATTCTTTACTGAAGTGTTATGAAATGTACATTGTACATAAACTTGTATCCGATCCAATAAAGGACTAAGTTGCGGATAAACGTGGTCGATCAAATGTGCTACAAACCGTGCCACTAATTACGGAGAGTAATTTCGCACGGAACACACACTGTGGCAAAACGGTATTTAGAAATCCGATTGATTGGCCATCAAATTGGCAAATCCGACGTACAATATTACCTGTGAAGGTCTAATATTTGATTGTCCTAGTGGTTCGCGTCATGTTTGAATTTCTATGTTGTAGTATGGCTAATGGTAATTTAGGATTATTGAATTTTGAGATAAAATTAGTACAGTGAAAAAGGGTTCCCTTTTGATATGGGACTTTTAGTAGTTTTTGAAAATAAGGCCTCTTTTGAATGAGGTTACCTTGTTGTCACTAGGTATATTCACAGTGCCCTGCTATAGGTGACAGCTGTGAAGGGTGTTGTGTATAGAGTGCAGGCTCACACTCTGAATATAGGCATGAGTGTTGTGTGGTATGTGAGTAATACACGTTGTTCCTGTTTTACTACTAATTCTAGAGTAGTATTGAGTAAACCTGTAGTAGACCTTTTCTGTGCCAGTTTTCTTTAATCATTCAACGACAGTACGTTAGAAGTCGATTCATCTTAGTGAGTGAAGAAAATCTGCTAATGATTTTCATCTGGTTGGTATCCTCTGCAGTAATAATTATTGCGTGACACAGTTTTACTTCTTCTGTAACTGGAGGTATTTCTTTTTTCCGTGACAATACTTCCACAGTGGATTTTAACGCTAGCCAATCTGGACCATTCACCACATTTTGAACTGTTTCAGTTTTGTTGCATCCATGCCTCTTGAGATAGCGTCTGCTGGGTTCTCCGAAGTTCTGACATGGTTCCAACTTTTATCTGGTAGTAGGAAGTTGATCTCTGCCGTTCGGTTTGCCACGAATGTCTTCTATCTTGTAGCGTCTCCCTTTATCCGTGATATTGTTATCATTGATTAAGTTCGTGCATATTTATCAACTTTCTCCATTGATAATACACTGACGGTTCGTCTCAAGAATTCAATCAAATTAAAAAAATTCAAACCAAGTTTGCACACTTGCTGGGTAGGATTGACAGAATTCCAGGGATCGATGAGGACATCTTTGAAAGTAGATCCAATTTGTTAATTTCCTTGTCGGAACTGGTCCCAGATTTTCAGACCAAACAAAAACTTTTTGAAACAGATGCTAGCTTAGCAACTCCCTTAGATCCCAGTTTATCAAATTTTGCTGCATAGCAACCTACTTCTCCAACCCATAGCTTGGGCTCGGGGGTAAGTACACCTTCCACAGTTCTCGCAAGCTCCGCTAGCATGCCAGCGCAGGCAAGTTCTTCCAAATCTTGTCCAATCTATAAATGGAACCCAAAACTCTCTGGGTCATCAGGATTAAGTTTCAATGCCTTCCTTCAACGGGTTGAGGAGTTGAGTAGATCCAGGCAAGTTAGCAAATCAGAGTTATTTTTATCAGCTCATGATTTAGAATTTTTATCACATGGTTGTTAGATATGCCAATGATTGGGATAGCTTTGACAGCACAATTTGTTCCTGTGCATGCTGGGGATCAAGTGTGGAAACAAATTTTAAATAGTCCTGATGAATCCATTGGGTTGTATGTTGCTGCTATGAGCAAACTTTTTGACAGAATGCCTACCCCTGTCGCCGATAATCTGAGATTGAAAGTTTTGAAATCTAATGTTCTCCCTTCCTATCAAGAGCGATTGACACTACAAACCATTAATACCCCGAAACATGCAGTAAACTTGAAGAAACAAAGATTAATATCGAACACTATATGCTCCCAAGGCCTGGGAACCTATCGTTAGAGCCTGATTTGGATTATCACTCTTCACCTAAAAATAAACCTCCTATTGTTAGAGAAATTTTATTGCCTATGGGTTACAGTAATATCCCTACTAGTTCGGGAAATAATCAGAGATACTCTGGCAACATTCAGCGGAGAGATAATAGTTTTCAAGCTTGCCATAAGTGTGATCAACCAAACTATTTTGCCAGACACTGCACTTCTGGTATAGTTAGATGTTTTTCGTGTAAAAAAGTTGGTGTCACAAAAAAAAACTTGTTCTGACTGTTCGAACTCTTTAGGAAACTTCTAGAGAAGTCAGTCTTAGATCGTAGATTGCCTTCTTAGTCTCAATCGACCAAGGTTAATCGTAAATCTGATAAGGAAAAAATTGTTTTAGACTATATTTTGTCTCATGTAGGTCCTGGGAAGTCCCCTTATCTTAAAGTTAGTATTTTGGGACAAAACTTGTTTGGATTATTGGATTCGGGTGCCAATAAGATTTTTCTGGGTTCTGTTGGTTGGCAAAAGATAAAAAAATTTGGGACTCTAATTAGACCAAAATTTGTGAACATTAGCTTCTAATGATACCTGCGAATGCATTGGTGTGGTTTCAGCTCCTATTAAAATTAGGGATGTTGTTAAATTGTTTGAAATCTTTGTAGTCCCTAAGATTCGTCATGAGATTATTCTTGGTATTGATTTCTGGCGTACCATGGGTATCGTCACCGACATGCGTCGTGAAGAATAGTTTTTCTCAGCTGAAATTTCAAGAGGTTAATCACATTCATAGTGAGGAAGATCTAACTTACGGCCAGAAAATACGATTGAAAGAAGTTATTTCTGAGTATTTTGACAAAATTGATGATAAATTAGGATGTATACTACTGCGGTGAAGCACAAAATAGTTACATCAAGTCCACCTATCAAGCAAAGATATTACCCTGTGTCCCCGTTTAAACAAAAACTGATTGATGAACAGTTGGATAAGATGTTGAAAGATGGCATTGTCGAGCCGTCTAGGTCAGCTTGGTCTTCTCCAATACTTTTAGTACCTAAACCGAATTTGCGTTGATTTTAGGAAGCTCAATGTTGTGTCAGAATGTGACGCTTTTCCACGTCCCTATATTTCTACTATCTTAGACAAATTAGGTGGTGCTAGATATTATGTCCTCACTAGATCTTAAAAGTGCTTATTGGCAAGTGGCACTAGAAGAAGAAAGTAAGCAATATACTGCTTTCACCGTCCCTGGTCGTGGCCTATTTCAATTCACTCGTCTTCCTTTTGGTCTCCATAATGCGCCAGCAACTTTCCAACGTCTAATTGATACCCTTCTGAGTCCCGAATCACAAGAGAAAAAATTTTGTCGGCAAAATTTCCTAAAGGTATGAAAGTTTGTTGCTTGGCAATTTCGCGAATGACATTTTTGACAAAATCACGAGCCGTAACGTTAATAAGGCTATCCCAATGAACTATAACCAAAAACTGGAATGCTCACACATAAGGACGAACATGAAGCCTAGTGCGGCTGCTGCGGAGGGGATACCTGTTTTTGTCGCACTCATTATGTTAAATGGCGAAAATTGCTTCCAACACGTATTCCAATTGATGAAACCTGTGAAGGGAAATATGACAAAACTTTCGAAAACGCCATATGTCAGCGAGCAACAGAAAAAAACAACATTCCCCCTTGTGGCATCTGTCTTTCATGGCTTCATTTTTTGGGCAGATGTGGCAATGTGTGCGCATTCCAGTTTTTAGCTATAGTTCATTGGGCTATCCCAATCATTGACATATCTAACAATCATGTGATAAAAATTCAGGGTATCGCTTTCAAATAAATCATGAGCTGATGAAAATAACTCTGAGTTGCTAACTTGCCTGGATCTACTCAACTCCTCAACTCGTTGAAGGAAGGCGTTGAAACTTAATCCTGATGACCCAGAGAATTTTAAGTTCCATTTATAGATTGGACAAGATTTGGAAGAACTTGCCTGCGCTGGCATGCTAGCGGGGCTTGCGAGACCTCTGGCAGGTGTACTTACCCCCGAGCCCATGCTATGGGTTAGAGAAGTAGGTTGCTGCGCAGCAAAATTTGAAAAACTAGGATCTAAGGGAGTTGCTAAGCTAGCATCTGTTTCAAAAAGTTTTTGTTTGGTCTGAAAATCTGGGACCAGTTCCGACAAGGAAATTAACAATTTGGTTTGAATTTATTTAATTTGATTTGCAGAACCACTGAAAGAAGAGATCTGGTCCCGAAGTTTGTTAAGTTTTCTGCCACATTGTGTCACTTCCAAGACTGCTTTATTTCTACGATCTTAGATAAATTAGATGGTGCTAGATATATGTCCTCACTAGATCTTAAAAGTGCTTATTGGCAAGTGGCACTAGAAGGGGAAAGTAAGCAATATACTGCTTTCAGCGTCCCTGGTCGTGACCTATTTCAATTCACTCGTCTTCCTTTTGGTCTCCATAATGCGCCAGCAACTTTCCAACGTCTAATTGATACCATTCTGGGTCACCAATTAGATAAATAGGTATTTTGTTACTTAGATGATATTATCATATATAATATCACCAGAGAAAAAAATTTGTCGGCAAAATTTCCGAAAGGTATGAAAGTTTGTTGCTTGGCAATTTCGCGAGTGACATGTTTGACAAAATCACGAGCCGTCAGGCTGATAAGGCTACCCCAATCATAGGCATATCTAACAACCATGTGATAAAAATTCAGGATATCGCCTTCAAATAAATCATGAGCTGATAAAAGTAACTCTGAGTTGATAACTTGCCTGGATCTACTCAACTCCTCAACTCGTTGAAGGAAGGCATTGAAACTTAATCCTGATGATCCAGAGAATTTTAAGTTCCATTTATAGATTGGACAAGATTTGGAAGAACTTACCTGCGTTGGCATGCTAGCGGGGCTTGCGAGACCTCTGGAAGGTGTACTTACCTCCGAGCTGCTATGGGTTGGAGAAGTAGGTTGCTGTGCAGCAAAATTTGAAAAACTAGGTTCTAAGGGAGTTGCTAAGCTAGCATCTGTTTCAAAAAGTTTTGTTTGGTCTGAAAATCTGGGACCAGTTCTGACAAGGAAATTAACAATTTGGATCTACTTTCAGAGATGTCCTCATCGATTCCTGGAATTCTGTCAATCCTACCCAGCAAGTGTGCAAACTTGGTTTGAATTTTTTTAATTTGATTTGCAGAACCATTGAAAGAAGAGATCTGATCACGAAGTTCGTTGAGTTTTCTGCCATATTGTGTCACTTCCAACACTGCTATATTTCTACGATCTTAAACAAATTAGGTGGTGCTAGATATATGTCCTCACTAGATCTTTAAAGTGCTTATTGGCAAGTGGCACTAGAAGAGGAAAATAAGCAATATACTGCTTTCACCGTCCCTGGTCGTGGCCTATTTCAATTCACTCGTCTTCCTTTTGGTCTCCATAATGCGCCAGCAACTTTCCAACGTCTAATTGATACCATTCTGGGTCTCGAATTAGATAAATATGTATTTTGTTACTTAGATGATATTATCATAGTAACTCCTGATTTTGACTCTCATATTACAATTTTGAAGGAAGTTTTTAACCTGTTGTATGCAAATGGGTTGACGTTAAATAGGGAAAAGAGTAAATTTTGCCGTGAAGAATTGAAATATTTGGGATATTTGGTTAACAGGATACCCTGCCTGTTAACCAATATCCCATCAGTGGACCCAGCAAAGGTGGAAGCAATTATAAATCTAACAGTGCCTAAAAATGTTCGTGATATTAGGAGACTTGTGGGTATGATCTCGTACTACAGGAAATTTGTTCCATCATTTGCTGATGTTATAGCTCACACGTCTTCTGCGTAAAGGAATAAAATTTTTTTGGGATGAGGATTGTAAAAACGCTTACGAAAATGTTGAAAATTGCCTTGTGTCTGCTCCTATCTTTGATTGTCCCAATTTTGATTATAGTTTCACTCTTCAGACTAATGCCAGCTCTTTTGGTGTTGGAGCGGTACTAACTCAATTTTATGACAACAGAGAATACGTGATTTGCTATGTTTCTAGAACCCTAAGTCGGACCGAGCGCGTATATAGCGCTACAGAGCGAGAACTTATCTCACTTATTTGGAGTGCCGAAAAATTGCGTTGCTACCTTGAAGGTTCTAAATTTCAAGTTATCACGGATCATTTTTCTCTTAAGTGGCTTCAAAATCTGAAAAACCCTCAAGGTCGTTTAGGTGGTTGGTGCTTGAGATTACAGCAATTTGATTTTGCCGTGATACATCGGAAAGGTAAAGAACATGTGCCAGACGCATTATCTCGTGCTGTTGTTGATGACCCGGATTTGATTAGTGGAGATTTGGAAATTTTGGAAATAGTTATCAATGACGTTAAGGATAAATGGTATTTAGATATGTTTCATAGAGTAAAGAAAAATCCTCTCTTATATCCTTGTTGGCGAACTTCCACCGAGACCAGTTAGTGGAGACGTCCTATATTCCAACATAGTCTTATAAATATCACTCTCAGAATGTGCACACTTTTTG